CACTTTCTTCTTTTTTTTTTTTTTTTTGTGGAGCAGGGGATTGAACTCAGGTCCTTGCACTTACCAGGGAAGCGCTTATTCTATTGAGCCATCTCCCTGGCCCCTGTAATCTAATTCTTTTTTTTTGCGGAACCAAGGATTGAACTCAGGCCCTTGCGCTTGCCAGGAAAGTGCTTATTCCACTGAGCCATCTCCCCGGCCCTGTAATCTAATTCTTAATTTATTATTTTATTCATTTATTTTAGCAATAGGGTCTCATAGTATTGTTTCAGCGGGCCTGGAGTTCCTGGGCCCACGTGATCCACGTGTGTAAGCTCAGATCTGGGGTTTCAGGTGCTGCCAGCTCTTCCAGAATAGACTAATCACAATTATTTAAAAGTTTGGTAACTCCAAAATCTTAAACTGTTCTAGATTAAATCTATTTTCAGTTGTTGAGGTCGGCTCACTGAACTTCAGGGCTCAAAGAGCTGGCTCGGTCCCCTCCCTTGCCGCCATGAAGTGGATGTTCAAGGAGGACCACTCACTGGAACACAGATGCGCAGAATCCGCAAAGATCCGATCAAAATATCCCGATGGAGTTCCTGTGATTGTGGAAAAGGTCTCAGGCTCTCAGATTGTTGACATTGACAAACGGAAGTTCTTGGTTTCATCTGACATCACTGTGGGTCAGTTTATCTGGCTCATCAGGAAAAGGATCCAGCTTCCTTCTGAAAAGCCAATCTTCCTGTTTGTGGGTAAGACAGTCCCACAGTCCAGCCTAACGATGGGGCAGCTTTACGAGAAGGAAAAGGATGAAGATGGATTCTTATATGTGGCCTACAGTGGAGAGAACACTGTCCACTTTTTTTTTTTTTTTTAAATTCTTTGTTTTTTGTTTTTTTGGTTTTTTGTTGTTTTTTTTTTGGCGGAACCGGGATTGAACTCAGGGCCTTGCACTTGCCAGGCAAGCACTTTTTCTACTGACCCATCTCCCCAGCCCCCTGACAATATTTGAAACAATTACTTGAAAAAAAAAAAAAAAAAAAAAAAGAGCCGGGGGGATGGCTCAGTGGAATAAGCACTTCCCTGGCAAGTGCAAGGGCCTGAGTTCAATCCCCGGTTCCACCAAAAAAAAAAAAAAAAAGAAAAAAGAAACAATTGGGGCCGGGGAGATGGCTCAGTAGAATAAGTGCTTGCCTGGCAAGTACAAGGGCCTGAGTTCAATGCCTGATTCCGCAAAAAAAAAAAAAAAAGTTACTTGATTTGGCAAAAAAGTTGTCAGTTATTGACCCATGACTGTAATTCCAACAAACATCTCACTTTTATCTTTTTTTTTTGTGTTGCTAGGGAACAAACTCAGGGCCCTGTGCATACAAGGCAAGAGCTGCACCCTGAGCCACATCCCCAGCCCATTCATTCTCTGTCTGTCTGTCTTTAGAGACAGGATCTTGCTATGCAGTTCAGGCTGGCCATGAGCTCACTTTGTAGCCCACGCTGGTCTCAAACTCAAAATGATCCTCATGCCTCAACCTTTCCAGTGCTGGGGGCCGGGGAGATGGCTCAGTAGGATAAGTGCTTGACTGGCAAATGCAAGGACCTGAGTTCAATCCCCGGTTCCGAGAAAAAAAAAAAAAGAGTTAATTCATTATTTGGGGCTGGGGAGATGGCTCAGTGGAATAAGCGCTTCCCTGGCAAGCGCAAGGACCTGAGTTCAATCCCCTGTTCCGGGAAAAAAAAAAAAAAAAAAAAAAAAATCCAGTGCTGGGATTACAGGTGTGCACCACTATACCTACCTTTGTTTTCTTTTATCGGTGGTTCTGGGCATTGAGCCCAGGGCCTTCACACTGAGCTACATAACCATTCTATTTTTATTTCTTTTATGACAGGTCTACCTAAATTGTTAAATTGCCCAAGCTAGGTTTGAACTTGTGATCTTGTCTCAGCTTCCCACAGTTCTGATTACATGGTTGCACCACAATACCTGTCCCTAAATAGTTTGTAAAGAATCAAAGCTATAAACCCTTCAGGGACCCATGTGCCTATAATTCTAACTCAGAAAGATTGCTTGAGTTCAGGAATTTGAGGCCCATGTGAGCAACATAAGAAGTCCCTGTCTCAAAAAGTAAGCCAAAATATGGACCGGCAAGATAGCTCAGCAGTCTAAAGCACCTGTAGGCAGGGGACCTCTATCCCTGGCACCACATACCATGCCAGCTCTGCCCTCAGGGCAGGCTGAGCCAGGAAAAAAAAAAAGAAAAAGCAAAGATATAATCATTGGGGCTGGGAAGATGGCTCAGTGGAATAAGCGCTTCCCTGGCAAG